CGATACTTCTTACAAGATAGATTCCCCCTCCCCCCATTCTCCTGGAAGGCTATGGTATATTAAATAGTCTTCACCATCACTGTAATTAAAAAGACATCAACTCTTCTATGACCTTCCTCCTAATTCATTGTCCAACATTTATATGAATTTGCAGATGAGATTGAAAATACCATAACTGAGTCAAGGGCATCTTAGTCCTCAAGGTGACATCTTTGCTTTTAAAACTTGAAAGAGGTATTTTTTTGGCAACAGGTTGGCAAAATCCAGTACATCATTTGATGTCTTGATTGCTACTTCTAACAGATAATAATTATATTGTTGAATAATTTCCACATGCTATTGGATAGCTCTTTTGTGGGAATGGGAAAAAAATATGGGTCCATATCTACCCAAATATGTGACTTCTTTCTCTGATATCATTTGGTTCTAGATAATCTGTTTCCTGAAACATTTCCATGTTGACCAACTCGTTTTAGTACACGAACTCTGTGCATTCCTCTACTCTTCTTTTGATATTTCTTGCATTGTTTAGTATTTTATCCACAAAATTCTTCAGCAACTGAAGGTTTGAATTTGCTCTTCAGTTCTTTCAACTTGAGAAATGCTAAGCTTGTTCTTCCCTTTGGTTTTCTAACTCTTTGTTATGCTTTGTCTTCTTGAGATGCCTTTTGAAAGCTTCTCTTATCTCTCTCCAGTATTTCTTACCTTTGTTTTGGCCTCTTCATAGTCCAGTGCAAGTTTCACAGTCTCTCTGATATTAATTTTTTTTTTTAAATTTTGTTCTTTTCTTTCTCCCCTGTGTTTGTAATGACATCATTATTTGTCTTTGCTTTAGTCTGGATGTTCAACTGAAATCTTATCCACTGTAGGTGACCACTCTGGTATATGTAATCCTGGTGGTATAGCTTACAGCATCAAAGCAACATGCAAGACATCACAGTATGTCAGGGTGACAGATGAATGGTAGAAAAGTTTAGGAATAACAAAAAGTGGGCACCTTTGGTGAGTGACAAGATCCATAGAATATTATTAGAGACCCTCGCTAAAGGAAGGCCTTCTTATTTTGGTTGTCGATGGAGTCCTAAGAACAAAAAAAAGGAAAAATTCAAGTCCACAATACAGGTAGGAAAAACCCCCCTCTGTTTATTTCTAGTATTGTTTCTAACAGGACTGATTTGTCAGTTTGGCAGAGTTTCTGTTTACTATTCTGAACAACAAGAAGAAAATATATGAGCATCTTCAGTCTAATTTTTTGTACTGCCCTCTTTCCATAAGTAGTTTTTCTCAGACCAGAATTTGAAGTGTGATGATGTAACAACAAACTACTGTAAATTGTTTAACAGCATTTTTTTAATCTTACTAAATAATGCTATAGCCACAACTAAGCTTTGTCAAGAAGTAAATAAGCCCCTATTGACTGTTCTGACCAGAAATACAGTAAAAATTCCCACATAAAATGGGAGAAAAATGTGAATTAAAATTGAAATTCCTTTAAACCTGTAAGAAAATCACTGTAACTTTGGAGGTTTTGAGATAATTATTGAGACTAAATAAAATATCATGTGTAATAAGTGAGCCTTTGATTTAAAATACTAAAGAAATGTGCAACTCATTTCAAGATTATTTAATAAAAAGATATTAACTTAAAGGGTGCTTTCAGACAACATGGTAGAAAAGAAATATTAAAAAGTAAGTTTGTCAGTCTTAGGCAACTTCAGCTCAGTTCTGACGTTTGATGTACTGGACCAATAGAGTAGAAGAACCCCCAGGCCTGTAAATTTAAGATAACCTTTGAACTTAGATTTTGAACTATTTATGTAGGTCCCTTTTCAACTGAATAAGAGAGTCAGCTCAGCTCAACTCAACTCAACTCAACTCAACTCACTCCTATTGAGTTAGACCGCCTTCTAGAAGATTTTCAGATTTTGCCTGGTAGGAAATTGCACTTCCTTCTTTCTTGGAGCAGGTAGAGGAATTTGAGTTGCCTGCTTGCCTTTGGTTTGGCAGCACAACTCACTACCCACTGGGCCCAGGAGTGACTTATACAATAAACAATGTGAAGAGAGGAATGCATTTCCTTAAACAATTGGCTATATCGGACTAAATGGTTAACATTTATCCTGCAGCAAAGATGAGGAGGGAATGAGAACCTATATCAATAGAAGAAAACAAACAGAATAGAGATGATGAGACTGCTGAAATATTGTAAAAATTATAACCAAAGGCACAGAAAAAATTACATAAAATTATTAAGCCCAAACCCACTGCCTTGAGTCAATTCTGATTGATAGTGACCCTGAAGGACCATGCAGCGCTAGCCTGCAGGGTTTCCAAGGCTAAAGATCTTTATGAAGAGGCAAAATGCCTCTATTTTATTCTGGGGTGGATTTGAACTGTCAACCTTTTTGTTAGCAGCCAGATACCTCACCCACAGTGCTTACTATGTAAATGTTTACTGCAACATTGTAAAATATTTTTTTAAATAAAAGATGAGAAAGAAAGAAGCTCCCACCATCTCCTGTTCTAAAATCCCCTTAAATTCTTGAGTCTAATGGAAAGAGTTAGTTGATGACACTACAGTTTTTACAGTGACAAAGTCAGCAATTGCTAATGATGCTTTCAATTCATACACACAGCCCAAGAAATCAGAAAAGGATTTCTAAGAGCAGTGGAAGTATAGGAGTGTGAGCCTTCAGGCTCTGATGTGATGACATGTCTCTGTCCCAGTTATGAACTGATAGGCTCGGGCCTGGTGTGCTGTCATGCAGTTCTGTGAGTTGACACTTCCTCAGTTCACAAGCTCACGAGTTCTTTTCCTTCCATGGGAATAAAATGAGTCCTTCTTAGGATCATTCAGGTGGCCATTTTAGATGGTTTTTAACTTGCAGCATAAAAAGAGATTCCTGTCTGCTATAGGCTCACAAAAATCAAAAGACCCAAGATCAAAGAAAATTGCTGAAGTAGGTGTTGGATGCAGTCATTGATTTTTCTCCAGTTGTATGTTAAAAAAAAATCACAAAATTGGTAACACATACAGCAGTTGAATTTCTATTACTTTCTGAAAGCCAGTGGTGATGTCCACCTTGTTTTCACATGTAGAGATGGTTCTGTGTAACACTTACAACATAATCAAGCAGATCTTGAAATTCAGTCTGTTTGCCATCAAACTGTTATGAAATCTACCAATATGATTTTTTAAGTTCCAGTAAAAATAGAATTGAATATTTAGTGGAGGTAATTAATAACTAGATTCATGCTAATGTTATCTCAGGAATATTAATTTACTGGGAATCTACTCAAGTCTGACACATAGGTTTTCCCTGTTTTTCTACTATCTGGAAGTATTTTTACATAAGTGCCTACTTCATTCGTAAGATTTTGTTTATGCTAAATATTAATTACTGATTATAACTGTATTGCTTAAGGCTTAATTGTATAGCTTCATCAGAGTGCTAATTCAATTTTCAAATTCTTTAGGAGTGTGTGATGTTTAATTCTGATCTCCAGTAATGTTTCAAAATATATGACAAATTGTTTTCATTTTGCAATCATGCATTTTACATCCATATACATAATATATTCATATTATACAAATTCTTATAGTAAGAAAGGTCTTTATCAAAGGATAAAGTAATAGTGTTGCTATTATTATTAAAGATACAGACAAAAAGGTCATTGTACTTGAATTTTATATTCCATTATGTTATTTACTAGAGGTTACTAGGATATATTTTCTAATATATTCTAATAACCAACAGCAGTTGGTTAATTGAATAATCAGGCCAGTATATTTTAAAAGAGAAATATCTACAATTCATTTTCTAAGTAGCCTAATCTTTCATATTTTGTTGTTGTTGTGTGCCCCTGAGTTGTAACCAACCCACAGCTGACCCTCCAAAGTGTTTTCATAGGAAGTAAATCGCACGAGAGATTTCCTGTCTTTCTTCCATGGAGCAGTTGATGGATTTAAACCTCCTGCATTTGGATTGGCAGTTCAAATCCTTCCTCTAGGCCACCAGAACCCTCCATACTGCGGTGTTGTTACTGCTGTTCAGTGCTGTGGAATCGGATACGACTCAAAGCGACCCTGTGAACTACAGATCTGAATCCTGTCCTATCTTGTGCCATCCTCATCATCTCTGATTCACTTGAGGCCATTGCTGTAGTAGTTGTGTCATTCCATCTAGATGAGGGTCTTCCTCTCTTTTGCTGACTGTCCACCTTTCCAAGCGTGATGTCCCCCTCCGAGGAAGAGCTCCCTCCTAAAAACGTGCCCAGAGTATGTGAGATGGAATTTTGTCATCCTTTAAGGAGTGTGCTGGCTGGACTTTCTCTGAGACTTACCTGTTTGTTCTTTTGCCAATCCATGGGATATTCAGCGCTCTTCTCCAAAACCACCAGTCAAAGGCATCAGTTGTTCTTCTCTCATATTATAGTGTATATTATGTAGAATATGCTGTACACCATAATACAATTAATACTATCAACACCAGTTTCTGTGACTTACCAATGGCTTGAAGAAGCAAAGATAGAAAATATCTGGTTAGCACTTACTCTGACACAGTAACTTTATAAAAGGCTTCAGGAAAAGCTTTTGTGCTTAAGCCAGCTCTCATTGCCCTGAAAAGTTTATGACTCAGTCCCACTTGGAAAACCACTTCTTATTTATATATTGTCACATTGAACCCCAACATCGATGCCATGTTGACTGATTCATGGCTCAGAACTGCCTCACAGGGTTTCCAAAGCTATAATTGTTATGGAAACGAATTTCCTCATCTTTCTCCTGGGTAGTGCCTGGTGGGTTTGAAATGCCAACCTTTCAGCTCCCAGCTGAGCACTTAACCACTGTCCCACAGGGACCCCTTACTTAAATGACAGTACCAACCTCATCCTACACTAAGCTGATTAGTCGTGCACTTCTCTGTTCGTGCTTTTAGATTCTGTTTATAGGGCTTTAGACTACGCTTATTTTGTTTTTCTTTGTTTTTATGTCACAGGCAGGATCACGAGACCATTCAAATCTCTCCATTCCTTCGAGAACTGCTCTTCCCTCGGACACAGTTGTTGTTGGGGACTTTTTGCCATTGAAAGCTGAACTTGATAGCACCTACACTTTCCTAAAGGAGACTTTTCTGAATCCTGTGACCCAGGTTCTCAGCCAACCTCACTCCTCTCCAGTGACGGTGTCTGCAAATGCCAAAAGACCAGCTCAGACCGGATTATGACTTTATGCAATTAAAAAAAAAGGAAGACAAGTTAACAATACAATTAAAAACGTTTTGAAGGGGCAAACTTCTTAATAATTGAATTTTGTTTCAGCACAAAAGGCTTCTTCTTCTTCTTCTTTATATACAAAATTAGACAGTATTTTGATGTGGTGGGTATCTATAACTCCTTGCATAACTAAGTAGCCTGCCTTTTCCCCCTCTTAAGTTTTATTTATTATCACAGTTGCTCATTTTTATGTAGCATATTTTTAAATGTTAAAGAATGACACATTTTGGGTAATTTCCCTCAGACTTAAAAAATCAATAAGCCATTTTAGTCTCTATCTATCAAAGTTGTTTCATACTTGTCTATTTTAAAGCAGGACTGCAATACTTTAATAGGATTGAGAGAGCTATTTGAAATGTATGCCAATGATTCCTGTCATTTCATGGCAGCCCTGCCATGGTTCACTGAGCCCCCTCTTCTCTCTTGTCAGCTCAACTGAAGACAAGCATTTAGTTGCAAACTTTAAGCAGGTTGTGCAAAACAGAAATGATGTGACTGCTTCTCCTCCTGCACAATAATGTCACTCCTGGTCAATGTGTGAAGGTCGGGTTGCTCCTTGTAAAGCTACATGATACCACTTGCCCATTTGAACAAGTTAAGTTAACTGCTGCATCGGGTCCCTGCAGGCATTGAAAACCACCCCCTTATCAAGTCTGCATTTGATCAGAGAGCAGAGCAATTGTGCTGGGAGGATTTCTGGGGTATGCGTAGGCACTTCCTAAGGACGTTTCCCACACCGCTATTGCAGGTAATATATTTAGTCTAAGCTGAAAAACTTGAAGGTAATGGCTGTTTTGACCTTCAAAATGGACTCCGGATTTTGTTTTTGTTGTTGGTAAGACCCAAGAGTGACGCCCATCTTTGATGCTGACAGAATTTAAAGCCAGGCCATCGCCCTGCGGTTTCTGCCTTGTAGCACACAAAAGTAAAATTGTATGTCAGGCCGAGATGTCGGGGAGCTGACAAGATGCCCCAGTGACATTTCAGCTAGAAAGAGCAAGTGTCTTGCAACCAAGTGGTCAAATATCAAATAATAGGTCAAACAGGAAGGAGCTGAGTTCTAACCACAAAGCGGTTTCTGGTAACTTACTTGACAAGCTTTTGGGCGCCTTGTGGCTTGACAAAGTGATGTTCTGTTGGGCATCGCTAGACAGACCGCTCTTTATCGCCTTCAGAAGATCAGACACTGACATTGATTAAACTCTTTAACCCTTAAAGGTTAAATCCTTGCAGTCTGCATCATGAGAAGTGAGGAACAAAAGAATATTTGTAATGCATGTTTGATTTTGTTTTAATCATTTAGCTCCCAAATGTTATTAACTTCTGATGTGAACTATAGTTTTGGGCAAACAATTCTGATACAAAAATCTATGTTCTGTATTTTTACTGAGTCACGACACAATAGAAAACAACAGTGTTTTGAGATCTATGCAATCTTATTTTCTTTGTAGTAACATTTGATCCAAATATGCTTAACTTCTGAAATTTTGTATTGGCCTTGATAAATAAAATGATACACTAATTATTAGCCCAATTAGCAGAGTGATTTGTACTACCTGGAATAACACAACACTTGACTGTCATACTGGGTACACCATGCCATTTCCTTATCATACCGAGTCAATTAGATTGAGGTAAAACTTTAGGAAGCTTTTTGTGCAGAAGAGAATTATATCTTTAGCTGAGTTTCTCTTTATTCACTGATTCATTCTAAGTCCTTTTAGTAGTCCTTCCAGGCTTTGATATTGTAGGCTATATTTGTGGCATTTAATGGGTATGAACTGTAACTTGAAAATTCACTATAATGCAGACACTGCTGTTGTTATTGTGTGCGTGCATTGGCATAACTGTATATTTAAATATCCTTTCTCCTATCTTTCCATACAATCATTTGGATATTGTCCATATAGGAATTGATAGAAAGTTTTTAAATTCATGTGCAATTATTATGTTTCCAAGTCTCCTACTATAGGAAAATCATATTATCCTGTGTAATACACACATTGAATCTGTTTCCAAATTCTGCTGATCGAAGAAGAACAAGTATCTTTTAAACATTACTTTGGGCATTCTGTGGTCATCTTACCTTAATTCTATAATCTGTTAATGATATAATGCCAAATATAAATGTGTTTGCCTCTTCATATTTATAGTTGTCTAATTATGCAGGTGTATCTAAATGGTAAATTCTGAACCATAAATTCAAAATTACGATTGAATCTCATGAAATCATGTCACGTTTATAGCCAAGAACATGCTAAAGGCCATGGAGACGGAAGGATGTGTCTCCTGAGCGGTCATTAGTATTCACTCCCAAATAGAGGAATATTTATACCAGATGCTTTTTTCCCAGAAGTCAGGCCCAGCAGGAGGAGAAGGCTTAATGACATGTCCTATGGAGATCTAAGAGACTGTAGACTGCTTCTGAGCACCTTAGTGACCACATTTGCTGCATATTTGAGATCTGTGTTGTACTGATGAGGATAGTTGCATGATCTGATTCTTTACCCCTTTAAGAATGATAAATATTATGGGGATTTATGAGGAGAAAAACGGCAAATGCTGTAAGGAGAAGGAAGTTTTACTTTATGTTCCTGTCTGTGGATTTTCTTTCTTACCTGTGATCTAGAAAAATGGCCTCTGTCACCTGCCTCCTTTGTTCTTGTACCTTATCGTCTTAGCTTATTGGAGAGTTTGCCAGCAGTTTTAATACAAGAGTCTTGGTAGGACATAACACGTGCGAGGCCGTTAGAAATTATGGTATGGTTACATGATATTTTACGTAGTGAACACTCACTTTAATTTACCAACTGTCTTACCATATGTTGAATAAAGCTGATCAAGAAAGTGTAGAGTTGATTACATGTGTAAGTACTGGCCTGAGAATAGGGATTTTAAGATATATTATCTAGTTTGGTAGCAGGCTGAAAAATAGCCCCAAAGGTATCCACATCCTAATCGCTGGGACCTGTGAATGTTAGCAAACATAAGAATGAGGACTTTGAAGATACAACTAAACCATGGATCTTGAGATAAGAATTACCTTAGATTATTAGTTGAGCCCTCAATGCAATCACAAGAGTCCTTAAGAGGGAAATGGAGAAATATTTTGCTCTACAGAGGAGGAAGTATTGTGATGATGGAAACAGAGATGGGAGTGATGTGCTTTGATGGTGAAGGGAAGGGCTGCAAGCCAAGGAATGCAGGTGAATGGTGAGACCAAAAAGAGCCTAGAAACAGGTCTTCTCGTCTGCGCCTCCAGAACCAGAAGGTAATGAGTGATTTTTTTCCCCCATTATTTAAGCCACATATTTTGTGGTAATTTGTGACAGCAACCATAGAAATCTACTGATTATTTGCAACCAGTTACTAAGTTTAAAAAACATTTTTGAAAAGGCTTAGAAATTAATTTTTAATACTACCAAACCAAGAAAATTTTCTTCTCCTAAATTATCCTACCAGACATGAATGTAATGCCTTCCTCTGAGGACTAGCCCCTTCTGATAACATTCTGAAAGTATGGGAGATGAAGCTTCACAACTTCTGCTTCTCAGGAGTACTGTGGGTGGAGACAGAAATGTGTCAATGCCCACAGAGGGAAGAGGGATCTCCTCTTTCCTCTAACCTAGATGCTCTCCTCTAAGACCTTAGCTGGCTGTATACTGTGTAGGTTGTCATACCCAGATACCAGCCTTCGTGTGAGTTCCTATGGGGATGCTTCCATATTTTTTTTTCTGAATCATGCCCTGCATGATTTTTTCTTTTTTACTGTTTTCAAACAGATCTAAGTCTAAAGGTCTCTTGACCAGTATTTTCTGTGCAAATTACACATATTCTGACATCTCAGTGGGGCAGTGCCTTCTGAGTCTTTGCAGTCGGGAGATGCTGCAATCCGAGAAACTGTGATGCCTGGACGCCTTATGGAAAGACGAGGAGTCCAAACGGGGTTTTGCCTTTTCCTCCTCATTGTCTTCTGTGCGGGTCTGTTAGATGCTCGGGCACGTTTTCAAAGCTCTGACCTTCGTGTTCGTTACGCAGCAGAAGCCCCACGGAAAGCTTTGAAAACAACTGGGTTAATGTTATCCAAAGACCGTGTTTCTGTGGTTTAATTGAGTCATGCTTCGTTGTCTTTTATTGCATGTTAATGCCAGTGAGATGCTGATTATTGACAGAGCCCTCCCAGGAAGCTTGTGCTGCTGTAGAAAATATGTAAAATTTTTTTTTAAAGTCTTCCTTGGATCCTAAGAAGCTCATGTGACAGGCTCGGAGTGGTCAGATGCGCATGCATATTCACTAATGACAGGACTATACCGTGAGTTAGCTCTTCTCAGTCGTCCTCTGTAGGTCTCTTTCGTACTTTGTAGTGTTTACCCAAGATGAGAAAAAGAGAATGCAGACCAAGATAAGTGAAATTGAACTGGATGGCCAATAAAAACACTGCACGATAAATCTATGATATATAATAGAACAATCCCATTGTTATTTCTCTTTAGGCAATGGCCAAAATATATTTTTCTTAACTTTGTCATAGTCCACTTTTGGCCCAAGAATGAAAACTTCCATCCTAAAATTGTATACAGAAAGTGCTGGAGCTTGGAAATAATTTAGGAACAAAAGGTTAGAGGCAACAGTTCATTTTAGTGACCTTGAGGTACCACTGACTGTTGAATTCACAGAAGCACCACGTTTTCCCTCCGTAGAAAGAAATATGCTAAATATGTGCTATGGGGACAGAAAGAGATTGCTAGGAAACCGAGTTCACATTCACAGTCACAGTTAAGATGCTCTCAGATAATGAATGGTGGTGCTATTACACTGACGCGCATATGGGGTCAACACCCGTGGAAGTGCAGGACTTCCACCCAGCACAGTGTATCTTCTTCTGTGCAACAGGATAGGCCTCCTGTTTACAGTGTCCGACCTCGACCTATAGCATTCCACAGAACAGTCCTGGCTTGGGGTACTTATCAGTTTAAAAGTCATTTCATAACCTGTAGGACTTCTTACTATCTTT